ATAATTATCTTTGCTAGACATATTTGTTTTATACAAATAATTGAATAACGTTGTTTAAATCAAGCAAATCAGAATCAGATTATTCTTAGCCAATCAAGTACACTTCTTTAGCTTAAGAAGCAGACTTTAATGTCAAGAAAACAGATTAATATCAGTAATTAAATTTGTGGCCTAATCTCTGCTTGTGGCCAGCGGGGAGTGTTCACAGTTTCTAATTGAAAATCATTAGAAACCAAAGCACATGCAATTTACTTTTCCCTCATATTGTTTGCTCTCTTGTACACGTCAGCTGAAAAGCAAGGGGGAATGGAAATGGAAGGGGTTGGGAAATACGAGCATGGGCACGGCACGGAAAAATCAAACGCCGAACTAATGACAATTTTCAATGCTCCACGTGCTTCACCACCACCACCGTCGCCCGCTGTGACTAATGAGCGTTGCTAACTGAGATAAGAGATCTGGCCAAATGGCAAATACTGAATATATAGAACGTCGAAACGGACACAGAGCAGAGCAATTGCCGTTTGTTACCAAGAGATTTGGCCATTGCCGCCGTCAGAGTTTAGAAACAAATCAGATATAGAAAACAAAACATACAAATGTATTTGAAAGAGTACTTATGTCATTCATGAGAATGTATCTCTGACGTGTGCGACCGCAGAATTTCGATGCCATGATGATGTTGATGATGATGATGATGCTGGTGAGCAATGCCAATAGCATGCACGATTCTCTACGAGTCTATATTATATAGTTTAAAAGGTTTGTCTTTTGGGGGAATGATTGATTGCCGCCAAAGAAGTGGAGGCCGCGTAACGAAATGTATCTCTCAGATACAAATGCAGTTGCGGGCCAGGCTGTTTATAACTTGCACATTGTTTTATTATTTTCAAATGGCAAGTCCCTCGGAATCATTCTGGTGTTTTATTCGTTTTGATGTTGGCCCCACTTGACTTGGACTTTTGATGTTTTTACTTGGCCTGGCCAAGACGGCAGCAGCAGCAGCAACAGCAACAGATCTGGCACTCGCTCTTGTCGCTCACTGATCTGCAGCATTTAATTTCATTTCATTGTGGTGGCTGCTGTTTTAATTAAATTTCGCAACGCAAACGGATTGCAGAAGAAAAACATTTTGTAAATTGCATTTTGTGTACAATTTTCGTTCGACATTGGGCTACCCAAAGGGGTGGTGCTTCTTCGGGGATTGGACAGAAAAAATGACCGGAGTGCACCGCGTCTGCTGGCTGGCGGAATACAGTGCATCTAATTGCGAGTAACAAATGCCGCCTCATGTTGCTGTCGCCAGACATTTCCCTCTGCTGGGGCATTTCACTTTTTCTTTTTATTTTTTGGCTCAAAGGCAAGACACAACCACGACGCTGATGATGGCTCCTGGGCTTCTACAAATGAAGAGCACCAGCATATGTGCGAGATGGACACTTTTGGGGCTGCTGCTGGCGAAGTTTTTGATTAGCTTAGCTACCTGGGACAATTAGAGGCAACAAATGAGTTGAACAAATGCCACAAATGGATCATCTTGTCTTAATTTGTGGCAAGAGTGGATAGAAGTCCTTGTGTGTCTTTGTATGACTTATAATTAAACTTAAGACAGATAATGGAAATTGAATAGAGAGAAGATTGTATAGAAATATCTTTTGTCAATTTTTGATTTATTTACTCCAAGTAACTCTGCCTGCGAGGACATTTTGACAAAATGCCAGTATATACTTCAATTGTCTAGCTCCCCGGACTGCCATTCCTTTTCTGACTATCTATCTGTCCGTCTGTCTGACTGAATCTGGCAGTATTTCTGGCTATTTTTACTACCTCGATTCTTTATCTGAGATTCTGCAACTTGCAGTTTATTGCGATTTCTTCATCTTCATCTTCATGACGGCGACACATCGTTTTCTTTCTGTCTCTCCCCGTCCGTCGATTTTTGTGCTTTCTTTTTTTTTTCTGCGTGGATTTCTTGGCAAACGCATTTATATTGTGCACTTGTATCTCTCGGTATCTATCTATGTATCTGGTGGATGTGGCTGCTGCTGCACTTTATACGAACAGCGGCCGCTTGATCGACTGAGTGCAAATTTCTCGAAGCGAAATTTATTTGTGATTTGCAATTCGCAATTTGCATGGACCCACCGACCGTCTGTCGTTCAGTTTCATTCCTCCCCAGTGAGATTTTGTGGGTAATTCATCTTCATTTCGTTGCGGTTCGAGCTGAAATGCGTTGCGGTATGCAGCCGCGACACTGCAACACCGCTGCAGTGCCTCGCCTTTGGGCTATTTTCAATTCCGTCCGCCGCTGTGCTAAAAATGTTTCAAATGTTTTTAACCAAAAATAAAGCGAAATCGGAAAGACAACAAAAGCATCAACAACCAGCATATATGCAGACAAACACACAAATTGTACAGTTCTTTTTCTATAGGCTCAATGCACTCAAGTCCTAAACCCTCCAACAAACCATCTATCTATCTATCTATCTATCCAGCCATCCATCCAGCCATCCATCTATCCATCAATCATTTTAGTTGCTTGTTGTTGCTACTTTTTGTAATTTAATCAACAGTTTCCATTGCTGTGGGATTTTCTTACTCGTGTGGGGGGGTGATTTTATGGAAACTAAAAGAAAAAAAATATATAAAATACAGGGAAAATTGAGAGAACTCTAGAGAGGTGAAGGTAAAGGAGGAGAGGTAAGGGGGGAAAAAGAAAAATGTGGATGGTTGGTGTATTATTATTAAAGGCAAATTTGACAGAAAACAAATGTTTCCTTCGGCTTCGGCATGCCGCTTGGCTCTTTGTTTTCTTTTGCTTTTCCTCGGATTTTCATACAAATCGCTTTGTATGCGTCAAAGTTGTTGAAATTTGAATTAACCCTTGGATAAACCAAGGACGTTGTCGTTGGTTGTGGCAGGAAGCTGTCGGTTGGCATTAGGTATTGGATTACCATCTCTGTGGTGATGTGAAGCGTATAATGAAGTTGCCAAATGATCAATTTACCATTGTTAAAGAAGTCATTAAAATTGATTTGAACTTATTTATTGTATTATTGTTCTTTTTTTTAACTTGATATCTCTAATATCCATTTTGCCAATTAAATTAAATATAGTTTTAATTGGTTTCAGTATAAAATAAAATCTATTTCAGTTTTCTAGTTTTGTAAATGCATCTTTACACTTTTATCTCTTTTTTTTTTTTTTTTTTTTTAGCTCTTGACTTTAATTATTCCAGCCAATTGTAAAATATAAAGCTAAGGTCAGCTGTTGCCGCCGAGTTCATTGCTGCTTGCCTTAATGTTTACATATTTGTATTTATTATACGTATACAGAACTCGCACTGCCAGCTAAAAATACGTCACAAAGGCGAACCATTAACCTAATTGCAAAAGTCAGGCAATGAATACAAAGGCCCCCAGGTAGCAACAGGCACTGCCTGTTTACTAGTACTACTCGGTATATATATATAAAGAAAGAATAGGGTTAAGTGAATCCACTCCTGCGAAATGCATCGACGCTCTTAAAGTGAGCCAAAGTCAGCAATGAAATAATTGTGGCAGGAGGCGGCAAGTGGTGAATCGGAACTAAGAAAAAAGTTAATTAACTTTAATAGTAATTAGTTACCTAGACTGCCGCCTGCCAACGCACTGAGACTTTGACAAGTTCAAGCGTCGTGTAAACCAAGCAGAAACGTCAAGAAAAACGCAAGCCAACTATGAGGAAAAGTTAAGGAAAACGTCAAGGTGGAAAACTCTTGTAATGATTCGAAATTATCCAAGTTTTACCAAAGCCTAAGTACCGAGTTAATTAGTGCAGGGCAGGGAGGCATCATCAGTGGTGTTTTGGTGTCAAGACCAAGTGGCCCAAAAAACACCTGCCTGCGGAAAAATGTGAAAAATTTAAATTCACTCCACGGCAGCAGCAGCAGCAGCCCCTTCGCAGATGTCGTCGCCCACTGATTGACATTTGAACGTGACATGAACATGGTTCACCTAAATTCCGTAATTTATTTCGAAAAACTCGCCTCGACTAACTGAAAACAAAACGGAAATTATGTTAGCTATGCCTTGTGGCCAAAAAGCAAAAGTTTCGGGTTTTGGCTCTAACCGCATTGTTGCCATTTCAACAAATATTATTCAGCATTGAGCATTCAAACATATCCCCCTGACAGCGTCAATTAACATGCGAAACGAACAAAAAAAAAAAAAATTAAAAAAGTGCATACTTTGCGTTGACTTAAATTTTTGCACACAGCCATAGAAAACGTGTGTGTTTTTGCATTGGTTTCAATTATGCCATTAGCGCAGAAAATCAATTCGTTTGGTTTTTATGTAAGCGATTGGGTAATTACGATAAAGCATGGGATAATTATTTCCAGAAATTAGAAGGAGGTTATTTGGGGTTTCAAAATCAATTCAGATATTTAATTGTGTATTTTAATTTTGTAATAAGAAAGTTCTAGCTGAAACTAACTGGGTTAAATGGCAAATAAATGGGATTTTATGGGGAAGTAATTACTTTTAAATGACAAAAACTGCTTCTAATATTTGTAGGCTTATTAACAGATTAGAAAACATCACTTGAACTTAATATTCTGTAATTTAAAAATTATTTCCAAGCTTGAAAATTTAAATTATTATATTTTCAATTTTTTAAAATAATTCTTAATAAATTTATCTAATTTTTAAATGCATTTCTTAAATAATAATTGATTATTTGATTCAGTAGATTTTGAAATATTGCTTTCTAAAAGAAGATCAGATTGATATAAATCCCTTTAGCAATCTGAATTTATGACCAAATAAATTGAAAGCCGCAAAATAAACACAAATATGCAGCACAAGCCGAACTAAACACTCGCTCAGACCAAGCATATTTACTATACTATATATATCTGTATATATTGATAAATCTGTTGTTATACTCTTCGTCACCACAAAGCCCGATACTTATCCATATAAATATATATATGTGTGTTTGTGTACATATTTTTACAGTCCACACAACAACAGAACCAGCAGCAAGCACTTATGAACAAGTCAAATGACGACGTACGGAGAAAGCGTCCCGAGACTACACGGCCAAATCACATTCTACTCTTCACCATCATAAATCCTTTCTATCCCATCACAGTTGTAAGTACACACAGCGATATATATGTATATCTATATATTTTACTCTTTCTCTCCAGCAGCAGCATAGCCTCCCATACATACATAATATATATTATACGGCGATATTATCCTATATATCCTCTAGCTACTTAGTATGGCGAAATGTCTTTTGGGGGGGAAAGACCTGATATTTCTTATTTTTCGGGCAAAATATTGGAGAAAATAAAATAAAATCCATTGCAATTTGTTTTGTGGCTGTTGAGAAACTTGTCACACACTCGACCGGAGTTTTCAGGCATGTGTGCTAAGGATTTGAAAGCGGTTATTTGCCACATTGTCGCCTCTGGCCCAAACCCATATGCCCTGTGTTGTTGTAGGCCCCAGACGAGTGTTGATTGCATCTGGCTTTGTGGTATTTCTGCTCTTATCACAACATTAGATACTTTTTAGCTACAAAATGGCCAGAAAGGGTACTCGGGATACAAGTGAGGATATAGCAGCAGATGGGCCGGGAAATGGACGAGGGCTTAGACCAAGTGCATTGTTAGACTTGCAACATCCTGCAACGTCAACAGCAACAATTATAAGATGAGGAAAAAACAACACAATGTACCGGAAAAAAAAATGAAATAAAAAATGCATAAAGTACTCAAGTGTTATGGGGCTAGAAAAACGTGCGAAGCCACGCCCACATCAGCACATAAACGCATAGAAAAGAAAATCAAAACTAGGACTCGAAATGGATTTACTCTGCCTAAAATAGGGAAAGTTTAGTTTGTAATATTAATAATTTTTTAAAATCTGAACCAAAGTTCAACGTAACTTCCCTCTATTTTCTTTTTTTTTTTTTGGTCGTAAAAACCCTAGTATTTAATAAGTGAAAATATGTTGTGGAAAGCAAACTTACTTCATTCAAATGTGGATCAAGGAGCTCTTTACTTACCCATTTTTCTCAACCCAGTTATCCGCTATAGTTATAGTTGTCGCCCTATATCCTGGCCCTATAGGGTAGAGACACTTACACACTTTCAGCCGAGATACGCATACTGGCACAGTTTATTGTCTTTTTAGCAAAGGCAAAAACATTTGGCGGCACTGGCACTACAACAGCATAGGCAAAGAAAAACAAAAATGCGGAAATGTTCTGCCTCTCATATTCATTGTGCATCTCTTTCTCACTGCACATAGAAAAATAATACATAAAATATAAAATTAGGGTTCCTTTTGTGGGTTAGAAGTTAAAATATTTGGGTTTTAGCTAGTAACAAAACTTGATTATATAAATATTGGTAAGGGATTAATATAATCAGATACATATATTATATAAGGTTAAAAAAAAAATTATCTAATAATTCTCAACTGGTTATAGTCAAGAAAACATCAAATTTTCAAAGAGCCTAACAGTCATAGCCTGTCCCTGGAAACTGAATTAACATTTAACCCATTAAATACCTTGACTTTTTTACATTCAGATGAATTTTGTAGTAAATAGCTTATAATTCCCAAATGGTTATAGCCAGAAAAATAAAACACCTGTCCTAAATCACTCTTTTGAAAGAGCAAACCAAGCAAGGGTATCTTTTGTAAACTAAATTAAAATTTAACCCAGTAAAACCACAACATTAAAACTTTCTGTTAATTTCCATAGTAACTACCCCTATTAATTGCAATTTCTCACCGTGTATTTTTGTTTGAGAGAAGTGTTTGTGCCCAGGCAATTGTATTTTCCAACACTCGAGCCAAGTGCGAGCGTAGTGGAACATAAAATCCTGTGAAGTGGAAAACATGCAGTATAAAAACTACAAAAACTGAAAATTATTTGGGGCCAGGCAGCAGCAGTTGCATTCTGCAGTTGTGTGTGCTGGTGCGTTTGTTGTGCGAGTGGGTTTGGGTTTGGTGGATAAAGCCAGTAAGCCCAGACATGTTAATTCGCATCCGACAAAATGGCTGCCTCTGCCTCAGCCTCAGCCTCAGCCTGGTGCAGCAGGATATTCTGTTCGCCCGTCCGACTGAATGACTCCTCGCAGATCCCAGGTCCCATTGTCGTAAAGTCCGACTCACTGGATTTATATTCTCGCATTCAGGCTCGCGCAGCCTTTTCAACGGAAATAAATCTCTCTGTTGACTTAAGTCATCGCCACGGAGGAGCGTTGTTTGCCGTGGAATTAAGCAATTCTCTTTACAATTCTCCACCGTTTCTCTCTCTCTCGCGTCCTCGTTATGGCGACACAAATTAAAAGCTTCTGGCAGCTCGGAAAAATATCTGTTACATCTGCCTCTTATTGAGCGGCATTCCGCTGTTTTAATGAAGCTGCAAATCGGATTAAGTGCATTTCCTGTGACATCAAAAGTTTGATTTAAGGCTATCAGAATACCCAACGATACAGGGCACGTTTCAGAGGATCAACACTCTGGAGGGATACAGGAATGACATTCTGTTTATATATGAAAGATGTTAATATATTTAAGAGCTCAAGCCACGCTTAAAATCACATTAAATCAAACTTTAGCACTAAATTATTTAGCACTTTTCTAGGCCATTTAAAATAGAATTTATATGTGCTACTGCTGCTGTTGGGAAGTGCAATTTCTCCCACTGAAACACTCTAAAGAAACATGACCGAAAGAAAACTGTTTCCGGAAAGTTTTCCGGGAAAACTTGGGCCTTGCACGTTCGTCGGAACGAAGGAACGCTCCATCATACGCTTCAACTAGCTTTGGCTTAACTAATCGCAAACTAAACGACCTCTAATAGCAGCCGGAACTTTTGTCAACAATGCAGACTCCCATTTCCACTGCCTTTTACCCGGACTCTTCCTTATCCGTTTCCACCCAGTCACACATGCACATGCCGAAAAGTAGAGTGAGCCGAGGCGAACTTTTCCAGAGCTATGCTTCGCTCATTTCCACAGCAGCCAAGGAGATGAGAAGAGGGGGGAAAAGAGGGCAAAAGGCCGCTTATCCACACGGAACAAAAAGCTTTTGGGGATAAGATTAAAAACTTTTTAATAAGAAGACACTAAAAGCATCAAAGGAAATTTGCTTATGCATACATATGTGCGGAAAATGCCAGAGTAAAGCAGAGCGCAGAGGCGAAAACCAGATGATAGATGATAAAGTTGTGCGCCCAAACACTCGGCAACAAAAGCCACCAACGGGATGTTAAAGTTAAAGAGTTGCAGAAAAAATGCAATAAAAGTTGCTCCCTTGACGACCAAACGACGGAGGACGACGGGTATTAGCTGACACCAGTGGAGGGCAACAATGTTCAATAATGTATTAGTATGAAGGCCAGAAGGCGTAGCAGCCACAATGCAAATGCAACCAACCAACCCCAAAGGAGGCTGCTGCTGCTGCACGGCTGGCATATGTAAAACCCTCTTTGAAGCGGCTTATCAGAACGCTGTTCGACTTTGTTGGCAAAAGAAAAAAATATGGCAAACGGGGCTAGGGAAAAAATACAAGAAAGAACTTTATAGTTGAGAAGGCACACGACTATGTGATACCCGGTTATGAAGGATAACTTTAGGCAAGAGAAAACTTTTCTATAGAAATGTATTCGAGTTTTCATCAGAAATAGTATTGTGCCTGCGAAGGGATATGTAGAAATTTAACTTAATCATTGATATTTGATATTATTGAAGGTTAATATATCGAGTTTACGTCCGATCCTACCTTTCTATAGTTTTCCCTAGTAGTAAAATGCTTTCAAAAATACTTTTCCTATATGTTGTATAAACTCAGAGCAGATATACCCCGATTTTTAACAAATACCAAGCAGGAGTTAACTGCAAGGCTGCAGTCAGCCATAAGCTAAAGCCCAGGAATGTGTAACGGCAGCTGCAGCTTTTGCAATATGTGACACATGCAGGAGCAAAAGCAGGAGGAGGAGCAAGAGCAGAAGTAGGAGTAAGAGTAGAAGCGCTAGGAGTTGGAGCAACCGGCGTAACAAGCGGAGCAGCAGCATCCAACAGACCATAATGCGTAGCCTGGCAAAAGCCAACGAGCTAGGCGGGTGGTTCCACAACGCAGGACTCGGGGTTGGGGCTGGCTGCAGCAGCAGCAGCAGCAGCGAAGGACATGCGGTGATGGCAAAAGCCGAAGCTAAAGCAAAAGCTAAAGCCAAAGCCATAGACCTAAACCGACCGAGCCGAGCCCTGGAAAATCCATGCCCCTTGTGCCTCCTCTTTATGCTAGCTATATTCAGGAGGAATGAGTTGGATAAGGACCCGGCGAAAAAGGGGCGGCATGGCTGAGGGGCGTAGTTCGTGGCAACTGAGGTTTTCAATAATGCACGTTCTACGGCTCCCATGCCGCGTATTGTATTGCATTTTGTTTATGCATGCGGCCATCAAAGATGGCAAAGATGCTCGGCAAATGGAACTACAGTGAAAATGTGCGGAGAGTGAGCACTGAAAATAAAAGAGGGGTATATTTAGAGCCTGAAAAAATATTAAAGATAAGTAGGAAAAAGTTGACATGATTCGTTATCTATAAAAGTTTTCCAAAAATTTATGCACTGCTTTATTTTTACAATTTGTTGAGTCCTTGCCTGGCTAAAATGATCAGTATCCTAATAATAAATTTTATTTCCAGTGCTAAAAACGGGGATAGATACACAGGTTTCCATGCAAGTTTGACAAATCGATGAGGTGGTTTCCCTTCCGATTTTTTCCTTTTTTTACCGCCGTCATTCCCGTTTTCCGCACCCGCTACCATTTTTTATGTGCTTCTGTTTTATGTTTGCCGCCGTTTGTGACAGAAAAATCTGGCATAAAGTTGGCTTTATGGGAATATGCAAAACAATGGATTACGATGTGTGAGGCCCATCGAACTTTGATTGGTCGCTACCCCCTCTCTCTAAAATCAAAAAAAGGAAATGTACTAGACTCTTTAAAAGTGGATGCGGATCCTATTTTTAATCTCAACGGCCTAAAGCAAAGGTTAAAAGGGAAGTTTGTGAACCGACACATAGGCAGGGCTTTTAGGCCGTCATCTAAACTGCAGCATTGTAATTGCTGCTGAGTATGTTATACAGCAGATCCGGGAAACATTTGATATCGTTCTTGGTCAAATGTCCGCATTCGTACATTTTAGAGAAGATCTGAGGATGGAGAGTTGGGTTAATTCTTTCTGGGTTTCCCGATTTAACGACTTACCAATGCCCTGAGCTGAGTGTCATTAAACTGTTCAGTCCTATCCTTTCTCCAGCTGAGATGCTCGGCTCTTTCTACATCGCTGATATCGTCCGCTGTCCAGTTGGCAGATGGTTGCGATAGTTGAGGATGACTGGGTATTGACTCCCATTTGGAGCTGGTCTGTAAGCTGGAGCTGCTTTTCCCGGGTCTGCGCTTCTTAAAGGAGCAGCTCTGTTGGCTCTGTTTGCTCTTGAAGCTCTTCGAGCTCAGCTTGCTCTTGCAGCTCTTTAGGCTCTGCTTGCTCTTGGTGCTGATTCTGCTCCTCAGGCTCACGAAGCTCTTTGACTTCGGGAGTTCACTGGGCTGACCGGCTTCGAGTCGCTGATTCCTGGCATGCTCCTCCAGAAACTTGGCATCCTGCTGGGCCTCCAGCTCAAGCATCCGCTGGTGTCGCACACGGTGGTTCAGGTGTCTCTGAACCTTTCGCCGGTGATGTTTGTGGATACTGCTGCTCCTCTTTGGGGCGTTCTTGCGATGCTTCTCACGAGGCTTTTTCTGACGCTCGCCCAGCTCTGTCTTGGCAAAGATGGGCGCCAGAAGCTGCTCCTTCTGGCTCTGTATCTCACGGGCTATCACTGCGCGGTGTTTCTTGGCCCGGGCTTCTTCCACCTCTCGACGCCGCTTTGCATGCTGGATCATCGGATCGGATTTACGATCGGAGGGCCAACGAAGGGGATTGCTTACCCGCTTCTGCATGACAATTTGTTCTTGCTGCCTATCTTGGCATTGTTTCTGCATTGCCTGCTGGTTTTCAGATATTGTATAAAATATAAATTCCATAGATTATTTATTATACCCACCTTATGGTTATGCGCCTCCCGTTTTCGACTGGAGAGCGTACCCGCAAACATGGAAGCCTTGTTTTGATCGTAAAATTTGCAATAGTATTGCACCTTTTCTGATTCCCGGGGCGGCATGATGCGTCGGTAGTTGCCCAGATGACTCTCCTCCCAGGCTATCTGCTGGGTGAGGGATCCAATGGAGTAGGTCTGCCGCAAATCGGTGCCTCCACCTGTTTCGCGTCCTGCCTGCGAAGGGCCGGCCATCTGGGCAGCCGATTTCTTGTTGTAGAGGTTCCTCAGTAGCCTTGTTCGGTGCTCTATGCGATCTTCACGAATGATCTGCTCTTTGTCCACTAAGGCCGTGCTGAGCATGTTCAGAGTGTCCCGGATGAGGGGACGCTTTACCTCCATGTCCACGGTCTCGTCTGTGCTTAAACTCGGTGTGTGATTTACCTCCAGGATGTAGGGCTTGAGCTTCCAGTCGACCAGGATGTCAAAGCCTAGCAACTGGAAGCTGGCCTGGATCTTGTCGTGCTTCGGAAAGCACATATTGTAGTTGTGCTTCAGCACTGGCCACGCGCTAATGATCGTCTTGATGATGGCATCGTCTACACTTGCCCAGAACTCGGCCACGTCGTAGTTGTGTTCCACCAGCCACTTGTTGAAGGCACTGAGCTTCCGCTTGGAGCCAACTTCCGGACTGTTGCCCACCATGTACTGGGAGTTCCGACGGTTCAAACAATAGTTGGTCAAGTGCATAAACACATTGTGTGCGTTGCCCAAGGACGGCGTCACGTACTTCTGGGTGGCAAAGCGGGCAAGGCCTTCATTATACACGAATATGCGCAGGGGATCCACAGAGGTGACCAGCGTGTAGACGCGCAAATCAAACTTGTAGCCATCAATTAGGAGAGGCTAAAAGATGAGTAAGATTTATAGCATAACGATTTTCAAAGTAGCCAAACACTAGACTTACCCGCTCGATATAGGTCTGGCAGATGAGTTTCTCCCGCTTGGTCACGGTGCGCAGATCTGTGGTTATCCAGATGCCACGACCCTGACCCGCCGAATATGGCTTTAGGATAAAGGAGCGCTTGTGTTTGCTGGCATAGATGGCCACATCGTAGGCACTAAGTTCGGTAAGAGACTATATATGAAACTAAACCCAAAGACGAAGAAGATAAACTCACTCTGTTGGCATCAGCCAGGTTCTGGGAAAGATGCGATAGTCGCCAGGAAATAGCTTGAGCATGCGATTAAGGTTTCTCGACAGCAGATCCTTGCGGCAGATCTCTACCATGCCCGGAAAATGATTTATCTGCTGGAAACGCTTCATGCTCCGCAGGAGTTCGTGATGGGGCGTACAGTCGGACCACTGGATGTTCCACAATCGGTGCTGTGGCACATGCTGGAAGCCCATGTTCCGCGTAACCTTTCCGATCAGCTGGAACCGTGTGTTCTCCACACAGACACTGAGTCGCAGTCCTCGGATACTGGGCATAATGTCTGTGCCATCTACATGGAACTGCATCGGCGGCCCCTTGGTGGCATCATAGCAGATGGCATCGAGCTCGGATGGTGTAAAAGAGGGTTTATTCGGCGGTTGTCCCTTAGGGTCCTCCGTGATCACCATGAAGCGGTCATCCTTAGCAGAGCCACCGCGACATCGCCAGATGGGTGGATAACGCCGCTTGCAACATGGTTTATTCGCCAGAACGTAAACGCTTTCCCGTCCGAGTGCCTCAGACTTATCCCTCGGCATCGATTTCTGCGCTTCATAGTAGCACGTGTGCTTCGCGACCTTCAGCGACATTCTATGGGGTATCTGATGAGGGTTTCGGTGGTAGCAAATCAATGACTTTTTATATTTTGGCATATAAAAAATTCGATTATGGAAGGGTACATTGAATTTTGAGAGTAGAATATATGGACGAGTAAGTAGAATAAGACAGACAAGCATTCGAAAGATTGCTTTACTACTATAATTATTATTATTAAGGTATTATTTACAAAAATCTGGCTAAAAATGTGATTAAGTAATCACTACTGTGTTGTTACCACAGCGATTTGCCGAGGGTTTCGTTACGCAACCTTAGGAATCACCCCATCTACATGGCAAGGTCAAGTGCTCTGGCGGTTGACATTTGAGATGCGAGCCACTCGATTACCAAAGTCAGTGCCGCCATGCCCCAGGTAAAACCTGTGCCGTGTGGTTAGCCAAAACACCTTGCGACAACTGAAACGAACCAGTGCACACCTGCACCACCACCACCACCACTGCCCCCGCTCTTTACGGATTAATTTCCATGCGAGGCGTACAAGGGTGGTGGGGCTCATTAACCGCAGTTTAATCAGGCTTTAGGCTCATGCGGTTATTAGTTCAGGCAGTCAATGTCACAAGGAAAAGTACAGCAGAACATAAAAAGGGCGGAAAAAAGCATCAGCACAATATATATAATACATATCAGCAAAACAACCGACAGCATAGTTCAGATGTAAATGTAGGTTCGTCATACGCTTGGTTAACTTGGGGCACACAGATGGCGAAAAAGCAGAAAGTCAGAGAGGGCGTGGCGTGACCGTGTGGATGGGTCACCTTTGGTGGCTTGCAGTGTATATTTTACATGCACAGGAAGAAAAATATTAATAATTAATGATTAAACGTTTAACAGTGTTTGTATTTTAATATTACTATAAATATAACATTCTATTCTTTCATTCTATTCTCTTCTATAGTTTCTCGGAGAGAGATGTTTTCACTCTCCATACTCTCCCTTTCTTACTCGCTCTTCTTTGCTTTGCCTGTAAAGCACAAGTAGTAATATCAAAGAAAGTTGGTTCCCATAACCCGTTACCGAATCCAAACCCTTAAAGATATTATTGAAAGTAAAGTTCTATAAATTTAATATTATTTAGACACTTTATATACAGTATTCTCCCCCTTTTCATATTCTCCTCTTTACAGAGTTTTAATCAATTTCATCTATAAACTTTTCATTTTCCTCCCTGTACCAATGGCTTTTGTTTTTTTTGGTATTAAATGACACAAACAATTGTCGCAGCTTGTGCCTCATTTTGCATTTTCCTTTTCGATTTCGGCAACGAAGCATGTAATTTGTCAAGTTTATTTGGTTGAGTAACGTTTTCGGACTGGCTGGCTTCTATCTCTGAGCCCTGTTCGCTTTTCCTCTAATTGGCTGTCGCAAGTTAGATTGTTGCTGCCACTTTTTATTTGTTTTTGTTGTTGTGCAGCTAATTATGCGCTCGCTTTTGTCGCTGGAGACTGTAAACAACAACAAAATAGAAGAGGGAGAAAAGCTCTGGCAACTTTTCTGCATTTCAAATATTAATGATAGTGCACGAACCAACCACCTTCCAAAAACAAGAAAAGAGGAAAGAGCAGCTCTTTTATGTTGACAGAGCCAGAAGCGGCTGATAAGCGAGAGAAATGAGCGGAAAATGGCGATTAATGTTGTTTTCGCTTAGTGTAACGGAAAGCGAAAAATATAAATATTTTTTAAATAATATAATGACAGATTTTACACCTTTAATAGCCTGCACAAATATGCTTAATAAGTTATGGGCCATCCAATAAATCTCTCGCTCTTTTTGTTTTCGCAAAGCTTTCATTACTCCACCATGGCTGTGTATAATCTATATAGCAAATAATAAATTATTGCTTCTGATTGAATATTTCACACTTTTATATTTGTCTGAGGCCCTTCGTAACAGGCGTAATTTTATTTATTTATTTTTTTGTCCTTAATCTATTATTAATTGACATCCCTTCGGGCAACTGGGGGCGACAATGTCCGTTGGCTTTTTAATCAAAGTTGGGGCAGGAGGGACGAAAGGATATGGCAGGACGAAGGCAGGAAGGCAACGAAGTGCCACGTGAAATGAGTGTAAAATCAGGGGACGACAAACCGTATTAAAAATTTAAAGGTGTGCACACTCACACACACATTTCATTTGCAGCTGCAAGCGTGCAAAATATAAAAACGAGGAGCCCCAGAGCATAATAATAAAAAATTAAACAAAAGGAAAATAACAAAACGAAACAAGGAGAGTGGAAAAGGGGTGTGTGCATGCTGCGGAGTTTGGTGGAGTAGTGAAAATGGTTCATAAACTCGCCTGCCTGCCAGATGACGATGAAAAACCGGAGAGCTGGGGCATAAATTACAATGTGTGAGAATGTTCGTATGGGGCACTGTGTGAGTGTACTAGTTTTCACAAATCCTTTTATTTTTATGGAGCTCCTCGCACACACACAGTCGCATTTTGCCTAAGCGCGCATTAAAAATTAATCTTTTAATTACTGCCGGGCTCATCCGCCGCTACAGCTATTAATTTAAAGTTCAGCGAGCTCGCGGATATAGAAATTTTTAGCTTTAGGCTTAACTTTAGGCACTTTAATTTCAATCTCGTCTCATAACAGGCCTCGTAAATCCTTGAAATAAAAATAACAACTTGAGAAACAATAACAACTTCATCATCTTTCCCGTGACTTACAATGGATTCACAGCCTCCTCTTCCTTTTTAATCTCCTTTCGGCTTGGCTTAATTTTTCCGTGTTCATTGTTGAAAGCAAGAGCAGCTTATGGAAAAGTTGTGCCGTTCTATCGTTCTAAAACTGTGGCATATTTTCCAGCTTTGCAACTTTTCCTATTGCCTGAAACTTCAACTCTCGCATTTTAATTGCTTTCAATTGACCCCAGGAAAGAAATGCGGCAACTTGCCACATAAACTTAATGGCAGGACAAACTGCACAGAGTCCACGCAGGGGACCCAGGATCTTTCTCACACACACTTTCAATTCAATTTACATTTTGCCGCATTAACATTTTTGGGGGGTTTTTAATGCCTAAACTTTTACTAAAGGGACTCAAAATGTCATGTTAAAAGCTTTTTCAATGCAAAACTTTGCCGAAATGTGGAAATGAACGTTTATTACGAGAACTAAATCCAATTTAATGTTGCCACAAAAAAAAAATAGCCCAGAACTATGGCGGATCTAAGCCAGGATTTAGTAATTTAAATATAAGAATCAAAGCGACATCCTCTTCCTGGAAACCCATTTATCATTTTCGCCTCGAGGGGCTTTGCCCGGGATTAGAGGAGCTACCGAACGTGATTAACATCGTCGTGCGATGATACAAATACATATTTCGTTGGCATTTGTAATTCTACGTTTGATTTATATATGCAGGTCATACAAACTCTGCTCTCTATGCATACTACTATGTATGTTCTATTTTGTGAGCTCCACGAGTCCCCCGCAATTATGCATGAATCGTGAAATCAACTGCAATATGGGCGGGGCGTTGCCTGGGCCCGGGTTTTTGGGAACTATGGAGCTGTGGAGCTGAGAACTGGAAACGCATGAATGAATGCTTGCCGAGCAATATATGCGCATAAATTTGAGCACTTCACCCTGCGAGACGCAATGAAAATGTTGAAATGTTAAAATGCTCGCACGAAATGCAAAAAATAAAAAAAAAACCAAATGGAAAAGCAAAGAGCGTTATTTGTAATGCAAAACAAAACGACGAAATCAACAACAACAAAAACGTGGCCAGGAAAACAACAAAAATAAACTACAAACAACAAACCAAACAATAACAAAAACAAATACAAATACAGTTGCAAACAACAGCAATAAGAACAACTGTAAAAATAGTCGAGAAGTGGCAAGACTTTTTGTTTAGCCGCCTTACTTTCCATTCCTGCAGTGTGTGCATATATAGAGTACATAAACAACAAACGCATTTGTAATGAAAATAAAATTTAACGGCACAAAACAACACACACAGCAAGGACACTTTCAAGTGGAAGACGCTGCAAAGTATGCAACAGTTTCGGTTGCTGAGCCTAGTGCACTTTCCGACACTTATGGCCAAAAAAAGAGAGAACGAAACTGTAAACTGCGGGCAGAAAAAGACATTTGGCACGGGGTTCTATATACTCATTCGTGTCCTGTGGTTGCTGCAGTGCGGGAAATGGATGCAGGCCCATGGGGAAATATGTTGGGAAAATGGAAAAGCTGTTTGATTATTATAACTCTTTGTGTCTTTTATATAATTAATGAGTTATTTGACTTGTACAAGGATAAAAAATACAACCAACGTAATTAAAAATCTTGTAAAAACTTAGAGTTTAACCTCTTATTTCTGTAAATCATCGTATATAATATTTTTAAAATTGCTTACGCCTTAAACAACACTTAAAAACTACAAATATTTCCTTTAAAAACCCTCCTAACTAGGTTGACATTTTCTTTGCTACTTAATCCTTGAATTAGCAGCCATAAATTCTTAAATCTAGACCTTGACAGGCCTTTTTTTAACTCACACAACTCACTTATGACTAAAGACCTTTTTAAAATGCAAAGTTCAGGGACGGAAAATCGCAAAAAAAACCCTGTTTTATTTATTTTTTTTTTTTTGTGTGTGTCTGATGTATGACATGCAGCAACAAATTGCTGCAGAAAAAGGAAAATGGCGACCAAGAAATGTGACACCTCCTGGCCACTTGTCAATGTCATAATTTGCCATAATGTGCGAGCGAGGAGCCGTAGGGGCTGGGCAGATGAGAGATGGAGATGAACTAGCGAACAGGACAGGACATCAAGAGTTGTGTGGATGGCGATGTCGAAGCGCAGATGCCTTTTGGCCCGAGACCGTGGTCGAAAGGGTCCTTCTGCCGGGCTTTCGCTGGGACTACATAACATGCTGGGTGTGGGTGTGTGAGTGTATTTATATACATGTATGTGTGTGTTTTGTGATGGTTGTATTTTCCAACTCCTGTCATGTCCTTGGCTCTCCGACGAGCACTGTCAACATTAACACAGCCCAAAGGCATAAAAGGCATATCCAATTGCAAAAAGACGCATGCCGATAACAAAGGCTCGGCAAACATTCAACTAACATTAGAGCCACGCCTCCGACCCGTAACATGCACTTAGAGAAATTATTACAATTAGATTTTAAAGTAATAAAAAAATGTTTTGGAAGAAAACGAGAGGTATATTTAAAGATTTTCT